ATTTTTCCGAAAGCCATGCTGGTGTTGTTTTGGCTGGAAATGTTCGTTAATCACGGGTAGGATCACCGATTCGAGGATCTTGGCAACGGGCGAAAATAGGGTGATCGGCCGATATGACGTGCCTTGATCGGTGGGCTTGCCTGGTTTGAGTATTGGGATGACGCGTCTGACTTTCCAAATATCCAGGATGACCGACGATGTGAGTGGAAGCTTGAACACTTCCGTGAGGTATCGAAGGCCTTTCGCGCCAACGTGCATGAGTACAATGGTGGAGATACCGTCGAGTCCGAGCGCTTTTGAGCCCTTTGCGGCTTTAATGGCTGCGGCGACGTCGTAGGTTGTGCATGTCGGGTGTTCGACGTTTGCATCTAGAGTGTGGAAGTCTCGGACGGTTTTCCGTTGGTTTCGGTTTTGTTTGTTAGGGTGTTCGGTGAATTGGCGACTGAAGAGCGTGGCGCATTTTTTGGCGTTATTGATCGAAACGCCACCAAAGGTGATCGCGGCGTTGTCCCTTCGTTTGGTGGGGTTGGACAGCGCTTTGATTGTCGACCAAAGTTTTTTGACGCTTTTGCCGAGATTGCTATCTTCCAAGTGTTCGGTCCATTTCTTGCGACGGTGTTCGTCAAGTAAGCGTCGAATTTCGATGTTCAGTTGTTGAATGCGGTTATCTGCTGGGTTGGCAGAGCGGATCGAGTCGCGTTCGTCGGCAAGTATGGCTGCCGCTGTTGGGAAGTTCGGCCGAACATTTGGGATGCGTCCGGCAGGAATATGGTGAGCCATCGCTTTGCAAATGATTTTTCGGTAGGTTCGTTCACCGTCGAGCACATTGGTGGGTAGTTGGATTTTGGCGAATTCGGTTTCTGTTTCGGTCAAAAATGCTGGCCAGTCGGCCTTGTTGAAATTGATGAACGTACGACGCTCGGATGAGGTGAACTGGGCAGCGCGTTCAATTGCGATGTGAATCGGCAGGTGATCGGAGCCCAGCGTGAGGGCAGTTTACCAGTCCGTACTGGTCAGGAGCGATGGGCTGGCAAGGCTGGCGTCGGGTGAGCTGGTGCTGTTTCCAGTGACTCGTGTTTGTGATTGTCCGTTTAGAATTGTGAAGAAGCTGGCGTCGATTTGCTGTGCGATTGAGATACTACGCCGATCGTTGGCAAGGTTCGATTGCCACGCTTCGTGGTGCGCGTTAAAATCGCCTAGGACGAGCGCGTCCTCTTTCGTCAGCAAGTGCTTTATTGATGGGGCGTAGCCGGGGTCACAACTGGTCGTTGGCGGGATATAGATGTTGTGGATGAGAATTTCGGTTTTGCCGGAAGTGATGGCAACAGCCATCTGTTCCAGATGCGCGTCTGCTGCGTTCGGCTTTGGTGCTTCAACGACGCGATATGTCACGGCTTTATGAATCATGAAGGCGAGGCCTCCGCCGTTGTTGTGCGTTCTGTCGCGTCGCACCGGATCGTTTTAGATTCGATCGAGCGGTGAGTTTTGTTTCTTGGAGAGCACAGAGAAGTATGCCGTTGCTTTCCAAGTAGTTGGTGATTTCAGCCAGTTTGCTCGTCAGGCCGTTGCAATTGAATTGCAATATGTGGAAGGCCACGGGTGTATGATGTTGAGGAGGTTTGTGAGCTACCGGAACGGGCTGTTGACAGCAGGGTGCAGTGAAATTCGCGTTCCAGGCGTTCACGTTTGGTAGTGATGAGCATTTGCGATGATGGCACCATTGTTGGCATTTGTTGCATTTTACGGAAGTGGAGTTGTTGCGGATGATGAGTTTGCAGACGGAGCAGATCCAAACCGGGGGGCCCGGGTTCGGTTCAATGCCGGCCATTAACAAAAGCGATCGGAGCAGCCCGGCTGGCGTAGGTCGCTCCGCGGCCCAAAAAAATGACCCGATGGTCGTTTTTTATATGAACGTAGCTACAATATTCGTCATGTCCCGCCCTCTCCCCTACAGGGCGCGGGGGGTGAGGTTCTCCCTGGGGGCGGCAACTGTGGACCCTGAGAGCGCCTCCTACGATCCCCGCCCCCTCATCCCCTACCTCGCCTCCTTGGGGGTACCCTACTTCTACGAGCGCCAGGGTGAGTGTAGGTAACATGCAGAGAGAGAGAGATCACCCTGTAAATATGCATTGATTTGTATTAATAGATGTGACCCATATCTATTAATGAGCCATTAATATACTAATATCTGAATGTATTTTTGCAGGCATCCTGCAGCAGGCGCTGCAGCTGCAGGACGTGACCAGCATCTGCAGCTTCTGCTCGCGCATGAAGCGTGGGCGTCTGTACGCGGCGGCGCGCGCCCGCGGCTACGGCGTCCTGGCGCTCGGCCAGCACCTCGACGACCTCGCCGAGAGCTTCCTCATGTCGGCCTACCACAACGGCAGGCTGCGCACCATCAAGGCGGCCTACACCGTCAGGTGGGGCCAGCAGGGCGGCCTACACCGTCAGGTGGGGCCAGCAGGGCCAGGAGTTCCATCCCTCGTCTGTAACAACAAGGTCCTAATGATCTGCGACTAAAAAGACTCAAACCTTCTTCATACGCTCTCGGCCCTGAGTCCCAAAACTTTAATTAATAAAGCTTTCAGTTATTTCTTGCCAGGTGACGATAGTGTTGTAATATGTTAACGATGGTGACGATGGTGTTGTAATATTATTCTGATTTTCAGGGAAGGCGACCTTCGCGTCATCCGCCCCCTCGTGTTTGTCCGCGAGAAACACCTGCAGCGGCCTGCACCGTCAGGTGGGGCCAGCAGAGCGGCCTACACCGTCAGGTGGGGCCAGCAGGGCGGCCTACACCGTCAGGTGGGGCCAGCAGGGCCAGGAGTTCTAGCCCTCGTCTGTTTTAACAACTTCCTAAAGAACTGCGACGTACGAAGCTTTTTTTTTCAAACCTTCAGACGCTCTCGTCCATATGTACCAAAGTTTTTAGTTATTTCTTGCAAGGTGACGATGATGACGATGGTGTTGTAACATGGTGACGATGGTGTTGTAATATGATAACGATGGTGACGATGGTGTTGTAACATGGTGACGATGGTGTTGTAATATTATTCTGATTTTCAGGGAAGGCGACCTTCGCGTCATCCGCCCCCTCGTGTTTGTCCGCGAGAAACACCTGCGGGAGTTTGCGGAGACCCGCGGCCTGCCGGTCATCCCTGAGAACTGCCCGGCCTGCTTCGCGGTGCCCAAGGTGAGAACTGCCCTGCCTGCTTCGCGGTGCCCAAGGTGAGAACTGCCCAGCCTGCTTCGCGGTGCCCAAGGTGAGAACTGCCCAGCCCGAATAAAAGTAGCTCAGAGATTGGAGGGACGTCGTGAGGATGAAACCCGGCTAACTGTAAACTTTCTGCGATGTCGTTTGTAGGCTGAGCGTTGAAGTACTTACGTGGCTCTGAGGCAGATTTTGGGGAGGCTTAATAACACATGTCACCATTAGCGCGTGATGTTATGGTGCTCACCACTGTTGCCATGCTGCTGTCACCACTGTCACCATCTGTTGCCAGGAGCGGCAGCGCAGCAAGCAGCAGCTGGCGCAGCAGGAGGTGACCCTCAGAGATGGAGGAGACGGTGGAGCCCTCAGAGATGGAGGAGACGGTGGAGCCCTCAGAGATGGAGGAGACGGTGGAGCCCTTAGAGATGGAGGGGACGGTGGAGCCCTCATAGATGGAGGGGACGGTGGAGCCCTCAGAGATGGAGGGGACGGTGGAGCCCTCAGAGATGGAGGAGACGGTGGAGCCCTCAGAGAGCGCCAGGCTATTCCCTGATGTCTCACGTGTAGCTAATTTTATTTTATAAATTGGTTGTTATAAACGCGCCTAAGTTACCTTGTGCACTTTCTTAGCCCAACTGGGGATGGTCAGGAGGAGAAAAATGCTTAAGATTTTCGGAAAAGTTTATTGCAAACTAGAAAAATTGTCTCTACAAAAGTCTTTCCTTAAAGATAAATATTAAGTTGAGATAATGATTGGTCCCTTGTAAGTGTTGCTTGACGGAGGGAGGGGCAGAGAGAGAGGGAGGGAGGGGGAGGCAGTTTGGCACAGCGATGGCACCCGCCTGTCGTGGCGGCGGCGCCGGTGCGGTCGATTTTATAGTCAAAAAAATAACTTAAAAACGTGGAGAAATAGGCGCCTTAGGCCTACAGTTGAGAGGCGCCTTAGGCCTACAGTTGAGAGGCGCCTTAGGCCTACAGTTGAGAGGCGCCTTAGGCCTGCAGTTGAGAGGCGACTTAGGCCTACAGTTGAGAGGCGCCATAGTAAAGATGACATCAGGGCAATAAGAGAAGAGTTCAGAGCGTCGGTTATAAAGCTAGGGCAGTAAGTACAGCAAAGTTCTAAAACACGTAACTTATATCAAAAGTTCCACTTCAAAAGAAACAAAAAATGAGAGTGACAAACATTGCGTTCCTTAATGGCATTAAGTAATGATCGGTAAGAAGTTCAATGAAGAAGTAACGAGACCAATTCTTCAACAAATTACGAGGATGAGACGAGATGTTTTGGCACAACTATTGCCGAAATTTACGATTACAGCGCAGCAATATTGCGGCCACAGCTCAGCAATATCATGGTCAAGCAATGCCGTGTCTTATTATCTACAGATTAATCAATAATTGTTCATAACAAGAAGAGGTTAGCAGAAAATTAAATACAAAAGACGAACCGAGAACTTCTGCGTTAATAAAAGTAAGTTTAGAGCGCCCCTCGACAGCGCAGTTAAATGCGAAGGAAATTCCTCTTAAATTATCAATTGTTAAACAAAAGGCGAGACAGCACATCACTCACGTATTATTGCGTACCTCACGTACCACTCTAGTATTATTGCGTAACGCACGTACGTACCACTCGCGTATTATTGCGTACCTCACCTATCTTCTAAAGCATCAAGTTACATGCTTCGTGTTGATGGCACATCAAAAAATTAAATATTGCAGAGCCAGACCTTCGCATCCTAAATGCCTGCACTGCCACAGGGAGGCGATATCAACATTTCATCTAATAACCGCAACGAATTAAGTTACTGCTTAGTCCATATCTCCATGTTACTACTTAACTCCACGATACTACTACTTAACTCCATGTTAATACTTAGCTCCATGTTGCTACTTAGCTCCATGTTACTACTTAGCTCCATGTTACTACTTAGCTCCATGTTACTACTTAGCTCCATGTTACTACTTAACTCCATGATACTACTACTTAACTCCATGTTACTACTTAGCTCTACGTGTCCTCCGCGAGGCCATAAGTCATGTATAGCAAGTCTCAATAATCGCGGTCTTAACGTAGAATAAAAGGCGTCAACGAAGGCACAATGACAGGCTCTGTAGCACACGCAATACCAAGGCACGTATAAACTATTGTGTACATACCAATAACGTATTGTTTATGTACGAACAAAGTATTCAACATTCATAACAATACACAAATTTGTTCATTCTAATACTCGGCATGTTTCTTATGATAGATTTGTGATGCACCGCTCACAGGCGACAAGTTTGTGCTCTGGTAGGAAAGAAGGGACAATGGGACAGCTAAAACAGCAGAGCTTTGCGACAGCAAAGACAGACGGAGGCTAAGAGCTTAGATAAAATAAGAGGGACAAAGGGACAGCTAAGACAGCTGCAGGCTAAGAGCTTAGATAAAATAAGAGGGACAAAGGGACAGCTAAGACAGCTGCAGGCCTGTCTCTTATACACATCTAGATGTGTATAAGAGACAGGCTGTAACCACTGTCGCCATTTTTTGTCATGCTGTTGTAGCCACTGTCACCACTGTTGCCATGCTGCTGTAGCCACNTGTACTATGAGATAATACGTGACCAGCACCCACTGACACGTGACCAGCGCCCACTGACATGTGACCAGCGCCCACTGGCACGTGACCAGAGCCCACTGGCATGTGACCAGCGCCCACTGACACGTGACCAGCGCCCACTGACATGTGACCAGCGCCCACTGACACGTGACCAGAGCCCACTGGCATGTGACCAGCGCCCACTGGCACGTGACCAGCGCCCACTGGCATGTGACCAGCGCCCACTGACACGTAACCGAGTCCTGAGAATCAGCGACTGAAGTGCAAGTTTAAACAGCGTGCAATAGTGCAAGACTGTATGTAACGATAACAATATTGTCATCACGATCCATCGTAAACAATCTAAATTCGTCTCATCAACTCAACAATCAACAAACAATCACAGCGAAGTCATCAGAACGTCGACGTAGTCTTGGCAACCGCACAATCACACATTCGAACTTAATTAACATTTTCTGTCGTGTAGAAGTTGTACAGTTAACGTTTAAGTTAACATGAACTCGAATTAGTTGACATTTTCTGTCGTCTAGATGTTGTACAGTTAAAGTTTAAGTCAACATGAACTGTGGTAAACATGTTCGGCATAAAACATGTAAGTAAATATTGCAATCATCGAAGAGACCCAGTAACATTCCCCAGCAGATGATGGATCATGAGGAACGTTCAGCACGAGAGCCGACATGTTCTCCATGGCTGCAGGATGCGAGCTGCAGACCTCCAGTTATCCCAGGGTCTGACCCCTCTGCAGCTCTGCAGACACTGCAGGGCCAGGAGTGGGGCGACTGAAGTGCTGCAGCAGCTGCTTAACACAAGGCCGGGCCTCGCTGCAGATCTGCAGACACTGCAGGGCCAGGGCCCGCGTGCTCTCCGAGAGGCGGGTCGGGACGGCAGGCGGGCCGTTACTCGTCGCGATCTAAAAATAAATAATATACGTTTAAAAATTACTTTTTAAAAACAACACTTCCAAAGAATCCAGTATCTCCAATCTTACAGATGTACAATGAATTTCTCATCTAATTTTCAAAAATTAAAAAAATTAATTATTGTTATTTTTTGTTAATTAATTAATTATTTATCTTGACTTCACTTGATTATTTATATTGATAATCCCAAAACATCCGTCGAACAAACGCCACTCTTTAATTTGAACACAAACACGCGTGACAGCTGACGATATTTCCTCAGCCTCGCTCAATCAATGATCCACTCACTAAGAGGGGCCCGCGTCAGCTCTTATATATGCTGGATTTTTTGACATATTGTCGTGTACTTTGCTCTTATGGTGACCTATTATTTTATACATATTGTTCATAATACCGCGAGTGATGGCGCACCTTGAACATGAGCTTGTACTGGTTGGAGACGTGGTCGGCGTCCCAGGGCGGCTTAGTCGTGGCCATCTCTATGAGGCAGCAGCCGATGCTCCACACGTCGCAGGCGCGCCCATAGTCGTCGCCCCTCAGCACCTCGGGCGCCATGAACGCCAGCGTCCCCAGCAGCTGTCCCTGGAACTCCCCCGTCACAGTCGCCTTGCTTGCCAGGCGCGCCGCCGTCCCGAAGTCCCCAATGCGCAGCCACCGTCCCGTGCTGTCCACCAGCAGGTTCGCACCTTCGGTAAAGGGTAAAGTTAAGGTATTGTGTTAAGTACGCAAGACAAGCTCTGGTAACGGTACAGGATCATGTTGTGGTGTAGACAGTAAGATAAGGCCACGTAAGATGAGGTCACAAAAGACAAGTCCACGCAATAAGAGATCACCTTTTAGGTCGCGGTGCAGAATCATGTTGTCGTGCAGGTAGTCAAGGCCTCGCAAGACCTGTTCGATGTAGCGCAGGATGACAGGTTCACTGAAGGCGCCGTAGCGCTCGAGCATCGAGAACACCGACCCTCCCGCCATCCACTCTGTGAAGACGCAGAAGGAGGATGCGTGTCTCACGGACCCTACAAGACGTACGAGGTTACGATGTCGTAGCTGCGACATGAGCAAGATCTCCTCCTCTACGGCGGCCTCAACGCGCTCCTGCTCCTCACTGCTTGTCCTCAGGAACGACACGAGCTTGACAGCCATGAGGGCACCTGTGGCCACATCCCTGGCCTGATAGCAGCACGAGAACGCCCCACTCCCCAGCAGCGGCCCACGCACCCACTCCGTGCCCTCCGTGTACAGGTCGCACGTCTCTTCCGCGATCTGAAGCAACAAATGCAATCAAGCATACGAATAAAATCTATGGGAAATAAGCTGCAGCTTTATTGTTAATTTCCAGTTGTATCTTGCAACGATAAACCTATATCATTAACTTAGTATTCGGATCATTTGGCAATAAAGTTCAGGCATAAATTTGTTATTTAATCTGAGTATGATAAAAAACGAAATGTTAACCCTAATTTGATGTAATTAAATTTTAGTATTTGGGTGAAAATTGAATGCAGAGTGAGGGACGAGATAGTGCAGGGTGAGGGACGAGATAGTGCAGGGTGAGGGGACACTTACCCTCTCTTGTGATCCGCCGACATCATGCGCGAGGTAAGGGGGCACGAGTGGGAGATTGGGGATGCTGGGGAGGGGAGGCTCTGAGAACCCCTCTTCCTCCCCCTCAGTGAGGGCGTCAACGCATAACTGCAGTTGGGGGGACATGGTGGGGGGAAGCAGCGGAGATGGATCCTTCACGGGGGTCGTGAAGGGGGCAGTGGGTGTAGAAGGGGACGCGATGGCTTCCTTGAAAGTGAAGTTGGGGAGGAGGGGAGGGCCTGTGGGGGTCCGGGGGCTCAGGTCCAGGTTGTTGCCGTGACTCTGGGACAAGCCGCCTCTGCGAAGCAAGGGACTCCGGAGTTGTTCTCCTTGTGCCCTAACAACAGCGTTGTTCTCGTTGTTATTATTACTGCCGTTGTTGCTGCTACTGATATTATTACTGCTGCAGTTGTTATTACTGGTGCAGTTGTTATTACTGCTGCTGCCGTTGGGTCGGTCTCGAGCAGCAGAGGCGTTACTAGTACCAGGTCTCAGCTGAGCGGCGTTCCCTGCAGCGGTCTTGAGGCCACTGGCCGCCTGCTTGTTTGGCTTGTTGTGCTTGCTGGATTTGGACGTGATGAGGGCGTGCTGCACGATGATGGGCTCCTCCTGACGAGGTCGTGAACGGTGATACTGGCGCACGCGAGCCTGTTTATCGCTGAACTGCAGGGCGTCGAGGGGGAGGTGGGTGGGGCGTCGGGGCGAGGTCTTGGTGGACGAGGCGTCGTCTGTGGCGTCCGCCGTGACGGCGTCCCTGGAAATCACGTCCGTAATCCGCGCCGTGACGGCCTCACTGCTGCCGCCTTGAGGAGGTTCTTCGTCAGGAGGAACGTCGGTGGTGCTCTTGTCGTGATCCTCGTGGTCATTTCCAGGGTCGTTCCTGTCACTGTTGTTGTCTCGGTGGCAGCCCTCGCGCCCTGCTGTGTCAGGCGAGTCAGTGCTCTGGCCTCGTCTGCTGTCACTGGCAGGCGGAACTCGCTCAGGCGAAGGCTGCAGGGTGTGGGCGAGCAGACGACTGGGGGAGTGCGACACTGAGCGCACGAGGCGAGGCAGGGCGCTCGTGTAAGGCGTGTCTGCGTTCACAGGGAGCCTGAGTTTGCGAACGATGGACTGATGGTCAGGCCCCAGCATGAGGGGATAGGGAGGCCGCTGTCCTCCCCCCTGCAGGGATCTAAGGCGCCTCTTGAGCCTCATCTGCAGAGAGATGTCAAGCTTGCCGAGCATGTCGCAGACATGGCGGAAGACGCTGGGCTCGGCGGCAGCCATGCGGGCGCCGCAGATATAGACGCGGCGGGCGAGTTTAGCGACGGTGGCGTGGCTGCTGCCCAGCGCCTTGAAGGCGAACTCGACGACGGTCATGAGGCGGTCGTAGTGCTCCAGCTTGTACCCTGACTCAGCTGGCTGCAGGGACACCATCTGGATCTGAAACTGTTCAGGGAACTGATCCAGCAGACGATCCAGCACACAGAGCCTGCCCAGCAGCCACTGCCACGGCGCCTCTTGAGGCGGGCTGTCGTCCAGGATGCAGCTTAATACGTACTGGACACCACCCAGGCCCAGGCTGGACGGCTGGTCCCGACCTTGCGGGTCCTCTAGGTGACGGCTGGACAGCTGGTGACGGCCCAGATGCTGGTACTGGGACCGTCCCAGGGCCAGCTCACCCTCCTGGCCCCGACTCAGCTCGAGCAGGGAGTCGACGCTGATTTGTGACGTCCGCCTGTTGCCGTCAGCACACTTGAGCAGCAGCGTGTGCAGCAGCGGCCTCAGCAGCTGCTGCAGCCTCAGCACCTCAGCAGGCGTCTGCAGCGACAGCGACGACAGCAGCACCCGCACCACGCGCTGCAACATTGAGGCGTGAGGCAACATTGAGGCGTGAGGCACCGTACAGGCAACATCTAGGCGTGAGGCACCATACAGGCAACAATGAGGCGTGAGGCACCGTATAGGCAACATACTGAACATAGGGAGGCGAGAGGCACCAAACTATCCCTTAACTGCCTGGCACTCTAATCATGTAATAAAGAAAGAAGAAAGAGAAGCGCACGCTGCACTACAGAAGCAGGTTGAAGATCAATGGCCTGCTTAGCGTCCTGCAGAAGAAGGATGATAGCCTTCAGTTCTACTGCAACCCCACAACACCAGGCAGGCGAGGCAGACTCACCAGGCAGGCGAGGTACACTCACCAGGCAGGCGAGGTAGACTCACCAGGCAGGCGAGACAGACTCACCAGGCAGGCGAGGTAGACGCGGTAGACAGGATCGTTGACCACCTGCGCCAGGACGTTGGCGCAGCAATGCACAACCTTCTTCTTGGTGTCCTCCCCCGTCACCAGCTGGTCCCAGTGCAGCACCTTCACCACCTGCACAATGTTTGTTGAAATGACCATAACCTTACCACCTGCAGCACCTTCATTACCTACGCCACCACTGACATGCCACCAGAGGGTGTGGGTGCAAATGCTTCCTGACATCTCCCATTGCGGTGTCTCCGTAATCCGACAATTAGGAGCTCAGCCAGTCTCGTCCCCAGGCCACTAACCCAGTCCCCGTCCATACGTCATTGAGCCAGCCCCAGGAAACTAAGCCAATTCCTCCGCCCCACCCCCCAAGCCAGTCCCAGGCCCCCCAAGCCAGTCCCCGTCCCTCACCTCGTGCGCCAGTCTCCGCAAGCCAGTCTCCCTGACCGCCCAGTCCCTGGAGAAGAGACAGGCCACAAGGTCGCGCCCGAAGACGGCCACCCATAACGCGGCCGTGTCCTCGTGCTCGGGGGGGATGGGCTCGCTGCGAGGCAAGGGGACCTCATCCTCCCCCACTGCCCCCACCATCACGGCCCCCACCTCCCCCCTTAGAGTGGGGGGGTAGTAGGAGGGAGGTAGCAGGCGCCCCACGTGTTGGGGAGATGAGAGGTTACGCCTGGGAGTAGTGTCGAGGGGAGAAGATGATCTGGTGTGGGGATATGCGTGCGCGGAGGCACTGTCGGGGACGCGGTAGAAGCTTGGGGAGCGTCGTGAGGGCGGGGCGGCGGCCGTGCTTCCCCTGGGACGCCCCGACAGACGGGGATTTGACCCCGACAAGCCGCCGTGGTGGGCAAACAGGAGGGAGGGGTAGGAGAGGTCGACGGGGGAGTAGGGGGAGTTGGGGTTACTTTGGGAGCGCATGGAGGAGGAGCGCCGGTGGGAGGACGCAGCGTGGGCTGCGCCACCTGAGTATCCCCCTGGAAAATAGAGGAATTGTTAGGGGATTTGTGATGAATAATGTAGTGAGCTTACCGATAAGTGCAGCAAAATATGTGGGCGAAGGATGTCATCACACTAATGAAGCCACACTCAGAACAGCACTAATTAAGTGGGTCTGCAGAACACACCTGAACAGCCGGAGGTGTGGACGGTGGGCGACATGACGGAGGGCGGATGGGCGGCAGACCGGTGGTGGGCGGCAGACATGGACGGCAGGAGAGATGGACGGATGACGGGGACAGACTTGGACGGGCCTGGTGAGCTGGTGGGCGACCCTGGTGGGTTGGTGGGGCGGGGCAGCTTCTCTGATGCGGCAAGTCTCTGGTGCAGGTTGCAGCTCTCTGACCTCACAACCCTGGGCACCTGTTGCAGGTGCGTGCCCTCAGCTGCTCGTGACACCTGCTGCAGGTGCTGGTGCTGCTGCAGGATGGAGCCCTGCAGGTGGCGTGAGGACAGCGAAGGGCGCTGTTGTAGCTGTCGGTGCGAGAGCTGCTGAGACACGTCGTTCATCCTCGCGTTGTTTACGTCGTGGCCTGAGTTGCTTGCCTGGCTATTGCTTGCCTGGCTATTGCTTGCCTGACTGTTGCTTGCCTGGCTATTGCTTGCCTGACTGTTGCTTGCCTGCTTAGGTCCAGTGGTGACGTTGTTCCTGTAGGAGAAACTACTGACGTCATCACGCGTCCGACGACCGACGCCGTGGCCTCCTCCCGCGTGAGGCAGCCTCTCCCCTGCTCCCTCTTGCCGCATTCCCCTCACCCCCACCAGCCCCAACTGACCTAACGCGGCGTTTAGTTCACGCGTTGGGGAGCTGATGGCCGTCGTGTCAACCCTGTCCTGGGCCGCAGCCTCAGCACGTCTCACGGAGGGCGCCCGCACCAGCCCCCCACTAGGGGATGAGGTGGAGGCATGATTAGGACCCAGCATGACGGCGAGATCTCCTCCTGCAGCCTCAGCTCTCGCGGGGTCAGCCCTCGGGACCTCAGATCTCAGAGGGTTCCCACTAAGAGCATCACTCCTACGAGGGTCGGTCCATAGGGACTCGCCCCTACTGCCTTCTACTCTGGGGGCGTCACTGTTGTCCCTCCTAAGGACATCCCCCTCAGGTCTGGGGGGCCATGGGGCCCTACAGAGAGGACACAGCAGCGGCAGGTGCTGGCAGTGGCGGTCGGCGGCCCAGACGGCCATGCAGTGATGGTGCAGCAGGTTGCGGCACCCGCCCTCACACGCCACCAGGCTCTCACCCTCCACCATCGCCGTCAGGCATATGGGACACTGCGCCTCCTCGTCCTCGTCTCTGGGAGAGGAGGGGGGGGGTTAGTTGGAGGTGTATGGGGGAAGGAAGGGTTAATGGAGACGTCTGAGGGAGGGGAGGGTTAGTGGGAGGCGTCTGGGGGAGGGGAGGGTTAATGGAGCCGTCTGGGAGAGAGGAGGGTTAGTGGGAGGCGTCTAGGGGAACAACAAATAACCGTCTTCTTCCGTCACGACTCACCCGTTGGGTCCTCCAGCTGCACGTGTGGGGTTGGCACTCCCCCCCTTGGAGGTGGGGGAGTTGCGGGTGGGGGAGGACGTGGTTGAGGTGTTAAGGCGGGAGTGGGAGGCGGGGGTGTCACCTCTGGAGGGGGAGCGGTGGCCCTCCCCTCTCCCCCTTACTGCTTTCTTGCGGCGCTCCTCCCACGCCCCCAGCAGCTGCTCCGCCTGGGGGAGGGGGGCATTTAGTGGCATGGGGGAGCGAGGGGCAGTGGGTGATATGTTATCAGCAACCCAGACAAACGTTATCAGCATCCCAGACAAGCGTTATCAGCAGACAAGGGTGAGCTCTTACCTCATAATCCTTGAGGGTGGAGGCCAGGAGAAGGGGGCTCTGCTGCGGCACCTGCAGCACACGTACGAGCACAAAGAGCACGTGCACGCAGTGGGGGCCGTGGCCGCAGGAACAGCTCTGTGGGGGCAAGAGTGACATGAGGATACATCAAGTACAGAAGTGGCTCGCACCCACACCAGTCGCTCCTGCGAGGCTTGTCAAGATTCGTACCTACACCAGTCGCTCCTGCGAGGCTTGTCAAGATTCGTACCACCCACACCAGTCGCTCCTGCGAGGCTTGTCAAGATTCGTACCCACACCAGTCGCTCCTGCGAGGCTTGTCAAGATTCGTACCCACACCAGTCGCTTTTTTAATGTCGAGGCTCGTGCCCTCGGCAGCCGTGACTAACTTTTGACGGCTCGGCATGGTATGGTCGCACCCACGTCACTCCCTCCATTGCATCTTGCGGAGACTCGTATTCCCGGGTTTAAAATTCTGTCTTTTAGAACTGTCGGCTATCAACGAAGGATAACAGTATTTACGCTAACTAAGGAATATAGAATAAAAAGTCCAAAGCTGAATACGCGAGAAAGCTACCCCTAGAACACGAGCTCAGACGACGGAATGCCGGAGAATCTTGCTCGACGCGTACATGTGAGACGCAACAGTCGTCGACATGTGAGCAGTCCGAACAGAGTTACCTAGTGCTGTCTAAACACCAGCTCCTCTGGACACTCGAATCGAAAAACTAAGCCTGATATGAGGCTCGATTTAGGAGACGCACTAATGCTGGCCGCTGGGTACGCTAACCTCGTATAAACAAACTATTTACATTGAATATCAACAGATTGAACCAAACAAATGAGCTAGAATTTACGATTATTACCACATGACAGCTCGATCGTGTTAGCATCCCGTCGAGATCATAGCTACTAGCCTCTGGTATTGTACGCAGACGTCTGAGCCAGCAGTGTTCGGCAAAGCCAAAGTCTCAAAAGCCAAAGCACTGTTGAAACTTTGAGCCAAAGGCTAAAAACTTTAGCACTCTCTGAGCCAACTTTAAACTTTAGCAAGTCTGAGCCAAAGTCTCAAAACTTTAGCACTGTTAATTAACAAAAAGTCCATTCAGAGTAAAATTTAGCAGACAACTTTCATTCTACTCCCGTTTTGAGATGTAAAAGAAAGATGGCATTTCAATGTTGGTTAAAATTTATACTCTCTGAAGTAAAAAATCTCACTTAACTTTTCTGACAGAACTTTCGCCTCTATTTTTCAATTCCCGACAGGCTCCAAACGCACAGACAAACTTTCAGAAATACATAATAGATTAGGCGAGCTTTTCTTTGATCTAACTGTACATGGACCCGATGATGTCATTACATGGGACCTGAAGATGTCACTACTGACTACATGGACCCGGTGATGTCACTACATGGACCCGGTGATGTCACTACATGGACCCGATGATGTCACTACATGGACCCAATGATGTCACTACATGGGACCTGATGATGTCACTACATGGACCTGATGATGTCACTACATGGACCCGATGATGTCACTACATGGACCCGGTGATGTCACTACAAGGACCCGGTGATGTCACTACATGGGACCCGATGATGTCACTACATGGGACCCGATGATGTCACTACATGGGACCTGATGATGTCACTACATGGACCCGATGATGTCACTACATGGACCCGGTGATGTCACTACATGGACCCGGTGATGTCACTACATGGGACCCGATGATGTCACTACATGGGACCTGATGATGTCACTACATGGGACCTGATGATGTCACTACATGGACCCAATGATGTCACTACATGGGACCCGATGATGTCACTAAATGGACCCGAAGATGTCACTACATGGACCCAATGATGTCACTACATGGACCCGATGATGTCACTACATGGACCCGACGATGTCACTACATTGACCCGATGATGTCACTACATGGACCCAATGATGTCACCTGGGGCCCGATGATGTCCCTCACCTGGGGCCCGATGATGACGCGGTACTTGTGGGCGGGGGAGTCGCCCCCGACGCTGAAGGAGTTGGGGCCCGGCTGGTGGAGGAGGTAGAGGCGGGCCCTCAGGGCCCTCCTCACCCGTCCTCTGATCACCTCCTCGCTCACCCCTCCTCCTCCACACCCACTGGAGCTTCGGGATCCTGGGGAGTTGCCTCTTGCACCCCCGCTGATGGGGGAGTTGCCTCTCACACTCCCACTGATGGGGGAACTCCCTCTCACACTCCCACTGATGGGGGAGCTGCCTCGAGTACTGCTGCTCTGGGGGGACGCACCCCTCTGTCCCGCCATGGGTGACGTTCCCCTGGCCGCTGGTGAGGGATCAGCGATCTTGGGGACGCTGGGGGACGCCCGTCGTCCTGCGGGAGGCACGCTGGGGGACGCGCGTCGCCCCGTGGGAGGCACGCTGGGGGATGTACGTCGTCCCGTGGGGGCGAGAGGAGGTCCAGCAGCGCGTGGAGGGGAGCAGTGGGGGGCTGCAGTCCCCCAGGCCCGGTTGCCCCCCACAGAAGATGGGGGAGACATCTTCATGAGAGGAATGCCTGACCCCCCGCTGCTGGGGGAGGCACCCGTCCCCCTAATTGGGGAAGGCCTGGGGATGCCGCTTATGACGCCGTCGCTTGGGGAGTGCGAGAGCCCCATGGTGGGGGAGGGAGGGGAGTATCTGTGGTGGGTGAGGCGGGGGGACGCTGGAGGGGAAGCCAGGCGGGGGCGCGACGTGACTGTTGTGGACTGGCGTGACTATTGTGGACTGGCGTGACTATTGTAGACTGGCATGACTGTTGTGGACTGGCGTGACTATTGTGGACTGGCATGACTATTGTAGACTGGCGGGACTGTTGTGGACTGGCGTGACTGTTGTGGACTGGCGGGACTGTCATCTTCAGCTATCAGGGGGAGCATCAGCTATCAGGGTGAGCATCAGCTATCAGGGGGAGCATCAGCTATCAGGGGGAGCATCAGCTATCAGGGGGAGCATCAGCTATCAGGGGGAGCATCAGCTATCAGGGGGAGCATCAGCTATCAGGGGGAGTATCAGCT